AACAAGTCTTCGTACGGTATCCTCTAAGCTGGCCAACTCAAGTTTACCGAGGGTATACTGACGAGTCCTTGCATATTTCGGAGCATCCGCCGCTAAGGTCAAATCGAACTCAGCGTCTTTGTACTTCGTTTCAAAGGTAAGGTCCTTCAGGAAAATCTTCAGGAACTTACGCGCCAACTTCTTAAGAGGTTCAGAAGGGATCTTCAGCACCATTTCCTCAAAATCAGCCTTAGAGCGCTCGGCGTTCTCAGCCGTCCACTTCCGTTGTTCCGCCGTAGGTGCCCTCTTATCCACCGTGCCCGTGGGATGGACTATGCCGATGTCATAGGCCTTCTCGTCGGTGTCATGGTTAACAGGATAGAGGTAAATCAGGCCCACGAAAGTTTTCGACTTGTTTTCGCGCGCCGCCTTTATCAACGATTCCATNGGCGTCCACAAGTATGTCCTCAAACAGTTCGCTATCAGAGACTTTCTCCGTGCGGTGCTCCGCAATAGCTGGTATTGCAGACAAATCGAGATGAGCTGCTTGCTCGCGAAGAGAATGGAATCCGAGTATAATATCGGCACCGTGAGGGAGCTGACTCGGAGCAACAATGAACGGACCGGCATAATCCTTTCCTCCGACTCGAGCGATCGCCTCCACCCCGTGAGTGCCAATACCTTGGATCCCGCCAGAAAACGGAAGCCGTTTCAGCAAGGGAAGGATCGCAAAGTACTTCTTCGCTAACTCAGGGCTGATGAAATTCGGTGGACAACCGGTATCGAGGAAGGCCTTGACGGGCAACCGGAAGTTCTTGGCTTTATCGAACAACTGGCCTTTCGTCACGGATACCTCATCGAGTCCCGGGATTTCAAGTCGTTTTTCTTCCTTATTCTCAACATTACCGACAAAGGTGGATGCCCCTGCGACTAATCTACCATGTGCCCCAGGTTTTCTCGCCGCGATAGCTGCCTTACGAGAAGGATAGCAGGGTGTGACGGAGACGGACGGTTGGCCTTGCGCATGAAAGGACATGTCTGCACCTAAGTGGTTCGATGCGCCGGGAAAGACAACTCCAATGTACGATCTATTGAAATACGTAGGAAGTCCTTCGCCAAGCCCATCGGTGGGCGTCAGTTTAAAGTCCGAGCTCACTTCAGACCGCCCCGAAAACCCTTCTCATTCTTCTTGGGATGCTTGGCCTTCCGATGTTCAGGAGTCCACACAGGCGCTTCGGCCTCAGAGACGCCCTGTTCAATGCAGGTGCGGCACTTGTCCCCATTCAGATTCAGGTTTCCCTTGGAGCCCTTGTTGGAGCCTTTCCCCCCTTTGCCTTTCTGCTTCTTGGGGTTCGGTGTAGGCCCCGCAAGATCACGCTTCAGAGGCAAACGGATATAGGGCTTCTCAGCCGCAATAAGGTCTTCAATGGTAATGACAGGTTTGGCCAACAAGGTATCAACACTTTCCACCACCTTGCGATACTGGCC